AGAGGAGTTCTCATTAATTGTGAAGGGTTTACACAAGTACATATGTTCAAGCTCTCCTTTAGTGAATACTAGTGAATGATTTAGTACAAATGACATTAGGAAATATTGTGAGAGAATGATCTTTATTTATAGAAGAGAGTTTCTAGTTTCATTCTGACATTGACACGTGTCGTATTGTGATTGGCTTCTGATGTTTACATGTGTCGCACTATGATTGGCTTCTAATGTCGACACATGTCGCACTATTATTGGCCTCCTGGTTGGAAGGAAACTCTTGTGGGCCCTTGACGGTATAACGTTGACCGGTGCTCAGTAATTTCGGGATTGGTCAAGTATGGTACAAACACGCTTCAATTGTCTTTATGTATGTATAATACAATTCACTCAATAAGCCACACAACTTCTCTAATATACGCATTTGGGTATCATTGGAGGTAATGCATAGATATTCCACATTTTCTGAACCTTTCGTTTCAAAGTGGTATCCATTTATACGTATGTCTTTAAAACTTAACAAATTTTGAGTAGATCGAGTAACGTACAACACATTTAGTATGGACAATATTGTTCCATTTGGTAACATGAACTAGACTTTTCCTGAGCCTTCAATTCCATCTAATTGGCCTGATATTGTTGTTACCTTTACTTTTGTAAGCATTAAACTTGAGAAATATTTTTTATCTCGAAGTATTCTATGCGTGGTTACACTGTCTATAAGACAAATATTTCCGCCATTGCTCTTGTTTTGAGAATAACCATAGTTTTTATCCATGCTTTATGAGTAAAGGAATCATAGTGAAAAACAATTTATTCATAATAAAAGGAAATTGAAGTGCCACTTTTATTGAATTGATACGAGCTTTAAACTACAAGTTCATATAATAGAGCAAGAGTACATTAAATATAAAAATGATTCAATCGGACAGATATGCTTCATTCCTTCTTTCCATAATGAAGTCTGAAATATCTAGCTGGGTCATGTTCACTTAGCGTGATAAATCAAACACTAGATTAGGTGTATCCATTGGTTTAGTCCGGTCGATGAAATTGGTTTCGACACTCTTCTCCTTGAGGGAAGGTTGATACAGGTCCACTAGATGTTTTAGGTACGGCAGGTACGTGCCCAGTGCCCATTAGCACCACACTTATGGCACACTCCTTCAATATTTCTATGAGCATTATTCATATAAGCTTTACTCTTGTGGAAATTTACTTTTTCGAAGCTCGGGCTTGGATTATGCCTTGGAACCTGGTTGTAAAATTAGACACCATGATTCTTGCATTTCCCATTCTACCGGCCTCGCCTATAATTGTTACCATGTGAGAATGTGGTGTTCGTTTCGAGGAAAGCAGCATTCACTTATGGGAATGGCGCTGATCCAGTAGGTCGGGACTAATGGTTTTTCATCAGGAGCTCATTGTTCTGTCCAGCCACAAGGAGCACCGATATCAGCTAGTTGTGGGCACCGATATCAGCTAGTTGTACTCAGTAAAGCCTCGCTCTCTTACTATTGTTGTAAGAGCACATTGAAAGCATGAAAAGTACTGAAATTCTTTTCCAGCATATCTTCTTCAGTGATAGTCTCCCCACAAAGTTTCATTTGGGAGCTAATTCTGAACATTGCAGAGTTATACATAGCAACCATCTTGAAATCTTGGATTCTTGAGTACGTTCACTCATAACGAGCTTTCGGGAGAATTACCATTTTCTGGTGATTGTATCTATTCCTCAATGCCTTCCAGAGGACTAATGGATCTTCAACCGTTAGGTACTTGTTCTTCAATCTTTCAAGGTGGTGACGGATAAAGATCATAACCTTCACCCGATCTTGAGATGATGCATTGTTATCCTCCTTGATGGTGTCTCTAAGGTTTCCTTCCTTCAGATGGATCTTGGCGTCCACTACCCAAGTAAGGTAGTTTTTCCCAATGATATCAAGGGCAACAAATCAAGTTTTGCCAAGTTCTCCATTTTCTTTTTCTGAAAGAAAAATGAGATGTGTAAGAACTTGCAATAATATGTATTTTGGAGGAATGTAGTGTTAGAACTTCTGGTTCTTACAAATTTTTCATTTTGATCTTTAGGCCAAAATGATAAGCACTTGAAACTTTAGGCTCGAGATTTACATAATTTAGACATTAATTAAAAAATTATTAGGTAGTTAGTAATACTTAATACACAAGCACTACTATCAGTATTAAGTACTACTACCAGGAATAAAGAAAACTAATGAGGAAGGCGATTGTACTGCACCACTCTCATTGAAAGAATATAACGTGGTATGGGCGTAGTTAGTAATACTCAACACACAAGCATTGCTATCATTATTAAGTAGTACTACCAGGAAGAAAGAAAACTAATAAGGAAGGCGATTGTACCGCACCACTTTCATTGAAAGAATAAACGTAGGATGAGAGATTATACCGCACCACTTAAGTAGTAGGAAAATTTAAATATGCAGTGTAGGATGAGCGATTATACCGTATCACCTAAAATTGCAATAAAATTAAATCTACAGTTCAAGATGCACGATTGTACAACACCATCTAAAATTACAGTAAAATTAACATAAATAAACACTGGGTTAGTAATCAGAAGCTACACAAAACAAGAAATCAAAAGTATAAGCAATTGTTATATTGAGAACTAGGAGAAGGTATGGTGCTAGCAGTTCTTGGTGAGAGGACATCAAGTAGGTGAGGCAAAGGAGGAAGAAGAATAGTAAGATCCTTATAGGAAGCATTTTTCGGTGAAGGGAAATGAGAACTAGTTAGAGTTAGAAAGTCGTGCTGATAACGTGTTATAAATAGGCAAAAGTGAGAGTGATAACTGTAAACACGAAAATCCAGCGATAAATGACAAGAGAACATGTGTACAAAGAACATTTGTATACAAACAAAAGAGGAAAGAAAACTGGAAACGAATTAATCAGAATCAATATCAACTACAACAACCGAGACCTACACCGACGAAGATACTGTACTGAATGACTTGATCGATTGTACTAGATAGCATAAGATAGACCATAAACCTTTCATACGCAATTTCTCGATCCATTCATTAATGCGCAAGAGAAAGCGATCCATTAGACTATAGGGAAGTTGGTCTTTCTCAACGTGGTGTATAGCACGAAAACCCATTCAAAAGGTTTTGCTATAATCATTGACAACTTTAGGGTTACAATCTCTTTACAACTTGATTCTCTAATTCGATCTCCGAAATGTAAGGTGTGTAGCGTTGTTAATCCAAGGGTTGCAATGACTTGATCTTGGATGAATGGATGCCGCAAGGTTTTGGCTCTTGGCAATGGAGGAACTGGCACATGTAAGGGTGCTTGGTGGTTCTTCACGGGTTTGACGAAGAATGCGGAGGGTTTTCTGAGTCTTCTTGAGTGTTTGAGTGCTTGAGGGATTTGAGTGCTTGAGAGCTTCAGAGTTTCAAAGCTTCAGCATCTGGGCATGAATGATTTTTTGGACCTTTTTGTTTGTCTTGGAGCCTTCTATTTATAGACTTTCCAAGCCTTGACTACAGATGAAATTGGCCTTGATTGTGGGCTTGATTAATTGACGAAAAAAACAAGACTCAATTTGTGGGCCAGTTCATGATTTAACTCCATCAATTAATTTTTGATTTAATTAAATTAAAATTAAATAATTCCTTTCCGCCAAGTGTTAACACGGGTCCTTCTTGATGACTCGTCCAATATTGATGAATCACATGCCATGTGTACAATTTGTGAGACACATGGTACATGTCACATACGCCCTTGTATGCCTCGTAAGCCCTTGCATACCAAAATTTAATGCTTTGGTGAATATTTATTTTCACCAAAATTTGCATGTTTACAATAACCTTTGCTAAAGACAGGAGCGAAGTGGGTACAATGTATCACACTGTTTATTTTTGTAACTATAACACAAAATGATTGCAGGTTAAGAGAGGAAGTAAGGGATATTGGTATGGGCAATGCTAGGTAGACTAAATTTGGAGACAAAGTTTTGAAAACTAAAGGACATGGAAGTTGATAATTGGTTTATTAATTAAACGTTGATAAATGTGCTTATTCCTATTAGTGACGCATCATTTAGTTTGCAAATTTAGTCTCCATAGCATTACTCTATTAGTATTATTGCTTTCACTATTTTCTTTTCCATGTCTTGTGATCATACATGGAATGCTCCTTATATAGAGCCATATACGTGAAGAATCATAAAAATGAAATTAGTGAATTTGAAAAACATTATACAACAACAACAATGCTACTATTCTTAAGTTTTTCTCACTTTTCATCATTGGCAAAAACATGTGGACATTCATTCCCTCAACTTTTACAACATGGTGTTTAATATTCATACGCTTGCTTACTTTGTTGCGGATGCTTTGCTTTTGGTTTCTGACAAATGTGGTTTTGGGGATTGGCTAGCTTTTGTTGCTTTTTCGACTTCTCTTTGCTCCTTTCCTTAGACAATCTCCAACCCTTGGGGATAAAGCTTATAAATTTAAGTCAGAAAATTTTAAACCATAACCCATAAACTGTAACTGTTTTTCTCCTCCAGTCCTTATGGCTTAAAAGTTTAGCCCGAGATTATTAAATAATGATTTTAGCCTAACTCTTTTTTTTTTGGGTAACTTTTTTGAAAATAAAATTTATGTAAATTATCCTAATTTATTTTTATGAACATTTTAATATAAAAATATTTAAATTCTGATAAGTAATTAAAAATCATACAAATACATATGTATTTATAAAGTTTTAAAAAATGATGAAACATGACAGTTTGGTGGGTCCAGAATAATTTAAGCATGTTTAAATCCCGGGGGGAGTCTAGCTCAAAGATATATTTTCTCCCCATGACTTATTTTATCCCAATAGTTGGAGATGGTCTGGGGGATTTTAAAGCTTATATTTTGAGCTTTATCCAATGAATTGGAGGTGATCTTAGAATAGAATATTATTGATATATATAGAAAAAGCATATCACATTTATATATTGTATTGGGTTGGTCTGTTATTGCCTACAATTCATGTCCAATAAAGCCCATTTCTGAAATTATGGATCCAACATAAGATTTCCTGCTCAAGACCGTGCGTGCATAAAGTCGAGTTTTTAAATCAAATTTTCAGACACGCCATAGCTTTTATATTTCCCGGCATTTAATAGCTGTTGTCTCTTCTCCTCCATAGTCTCCACTTTCCACGAGTGGCATGGTTTCTCTCACGATTTCTGTACCAACAACAAGATTAAAGGGAAGGTTTCAATCTTATCCTCCTTACCTTTGTTATTTCCGATTAAACCGTCTCGAATGGTTGCTTGTTCGAGTCATCTGTGAAGACAATAAACTTGCACGCCATCTGTTTGGTTTATTGTCTCAATGAAGTCATTGTCCCCTTGCTGTTGCAGCTTTAATTTCGGAGTGCCGGCTTGAAGGGTAATTTAGAGAGTACATTTTTTTTTTCCAGCGAACAATGACCTGTAGACATATAGAGAAGTTTATCTACGGTGCAAAGCATCTAATGGCTAAGCGAAATGGAGCGTTGCATGTGAATGTGAAGCTGTTTCATTGGTCGGAGGAGTCTCGTGAAGATCCTTTGCCCCCAGAGTGGTATCAGAAGGCATTCCCGAAGTTGACAAAATTAACCCAGTTGTTAAAAAATGTTGACTTGATTGATGGAAGGCTCGTCAATGTCAGTGATGATTCGATTATCATTGATGATCGTATTGAAAACAGAATGCTTACTTTCAAGTCACTTGCCAGGGTCTTTATTGGAGCTCCACTAGTACAGAAAGCGCTGAGGAATAATATGGCGGCATTGTCAGGAGGTAGAATCCATAACCCGTTTGTGTGTTTCGGTACACCTAGTGAAAGGGAGCCCATGATTGTGAATTCACTCTCAGTAGTAGGTGGCTTTCTGAACATCTCTGCCCAACAAAGGCAGTCGGTGCGTGTCACAATATCCCCACAGGTCACACAGCATCGCATATGGACAGGGATGCTTGAGGAGGTACTCAATGGATTGAAATCCGAGTTGGATTATCTAGACTATCAGTACCCAAGCAAAGGGATAAAAATGGGGCAACAGATAGCTTCTAGCTGTCTAAAGTTCTTGGCCGACACATCCACCTCCATTTCATATGAAAACGACTCCTCTTCATGGACACGCCTTGTGCCTGCCAAAGTTATTGACTCTTCTGGTTTGCAGAAATGGGAAGATGTTCTTGACATGTTCAGCGACCTCATTGATTGGTTGAAAAATGAAAGGAGGTTACTGACTTCCGTAGAAAAGCTTGAGGTAATGAAAGAGGGGCTGTGTCAAATCAAGGATGTGCTGACTGATAGAAGTATAGGACACAAGGAACTCCGGCATCAAGAAAGCTTAGTGCAGAAGAAGTTGACGAAGACATTGGGTCATTCATCCAAGTGCTTGTTCACACTTTTGTTATATTACCTGTATGGGCGTGTTGGAGATATTGAAGTGGACATGCGTGGTGGTATTTATAGCCGTGGTAGTGGGGATGATTTCTGCTTGTGCATGGCAAGGATTGTGACTTCGGACGAGGAGGAGATGGTGTGGAGCGGGGTGAGGCAGTTAGACAGGGCTCTTGGGCTTTTCAAGTTTGTATGGGAAACAGCAGGGATGAAAGGGGCTTTACAACTGCAAGGCCATGTATGGTGTGTAGGGGCTGAGGGCAGAGTTCTTACATATAGAGGAAACACCTTTTTTGTACATGGGATTCATGTTTGAGCAATGGTTGTCTTAGCCCGTGAGTTTAAATTTCAGAATGCATCGAAGTTAGGACTGCTGCCCATAACAAGCGAGAATTAGAGAAGTTGTTGCAGCAACTGTGCTGAGTTCTAGGAGTTCTTAGGCCATTGGTTTTCGGAGAAGCAGATTTGGACATAACAACAGACTGATGAGTGCTTAAATATTTGAAATTGGCCATCTGCAAATGTCAAAGTGCTATAAATCACGAAATGATGACACAATTATCATTGTCATGGTCATCATATATCTTTGGTCATGAACAATCTACAATCTGGCTAATATAAACATGGAATGCAGAAATAAAGAGATTAGACACATTGTTTGAATGGAAGTGATGACGGGAAGTGCAGCAACCACAACAATAAAAACTACAGACCATGGAGAATTGACAGAGTACTGTTTTAACATTTCCTTCCACTTGTGCCAAGGGATTCTGTGGTATGCATTGATGTCTTCACAAAGATCAGCAAAGAAATTTCTGCGGAACCTCGGGCTAATAAGGAGGTTTGTTAACCTGTTCCCTGTCTTTAGTTTTGACTAGTTCATTTTGAAGAAGCAATCCCATATCTTTAGGAGTGTCAGCAAGGTTGTCGATGATGAAAGCATAACGATTAGTGTAACTACCAAGAAAGTGATGCTTAATGCAACATTTCCATTTTATTCACTGCTTGATTTTCATAAGATATAACAGATCCTAGTCTCACAAATTTGTTCTTCAAAATCAAATAAATTGTAAGAACTCTATCTCTAGTACTGCGTTCCGACAACAAGATAAACCTTTATTTTGCTTCCACTGATAAAAATACTCAAATAGGACACTAGAATTTAATCAACCTTTACCAACAGAGTTAACAAAAACTGCAAAAGAATGTATTATCAATTGCGGTTTCCATTTGTGCCACGGCCTTGTGCAGTACTTGTTCAGGTCTTCACTAAGAGTAGCGAAATAGAAGTAATTATAGCGCGTTTACTAATCCGTAATCAAATTGAGAGGAATTGAATTGAGGAGGAATTGGATTGATGAGGAATTGGATTGAGGCGGAATACGAATCGGACTCCTGTTGCTATTGTTTACTAAAACTGTCTGGAATCGGAATAGAATTCCATAAAGTTGTTTACTAATTCAACAGAATCAGAATATAAATCAATATAATTACTAAAATGCCCTTGTCCCAAGTAATGTAAATACTAAATTGCCCATATTCCAAGTATATAGTTTTTATATTTTTGATAAATTCTTTTTTTTTTTAAAAACTTTGTGAAAAAGCTTTAAAATGAATTTGTACGGTTTATATATACATATATATTTTATTTTATTTTGTTTGAAATGTCAAAAAGATATTTATGTAGTTAATATTAAAAAAAAACCAGCTGGGATCCTCTTTTTCTTTCTCCTGGAGCCCAATATGCGCCCCAACCCCCAATTCTTTTCAGTGATCCCCAAATCTTTTTAGCCTCCCCTTCTTCTTCTTTCTCCCTTCTGATTCTTCTTCTTGTTTTCTTCTGATCCTTCTTCTACATTTGCCAATTGTTTTTTCTTTCTCATGAAGGCCGCACCGCACCGCACCCCATTCCCCAATTCTTTTCAGCTTCTCCATCTTTTTTTTTTCCATTTTCTTCTTCTTCCCTTCTTATTTTTCTTTTCCTTTGATATTGGCCATTGCCCATAGAGACACACAGAAGCAGAGAAAGAGGGGGAAGGGAGACGAGATAAGGGTATTTTGGGTAGAAAAATGGGATTCCAGATAAAGCATTTCACCCGGAATTCAAATCCCACCTATTGTTCGGGAGACCGATTCCGGGTAAATGGAGAGTCTGATTCCCCATATTAGATGGGTCCCACATACACTTCATTCCCTCAAATGTTGGTAAACACTTGAATAACCGGGGAGGAGTGCAATTCCCATTCCTCTTGTCCCACTCCCCTTACGTAAACGCACCCTTAGGGTTCATGATAACCCCATCCGCAAAGTTGTTAATCGGAGTGCACAGAACAGTTGCGCAGTCTTGGTTCTTGGTCTTTGATTTTCTTTATACAATCCTCCAAGCTTACGTTGGTTCGACGTGGAAAATCCTGTAGGTGGGTACCTCTTTTTCTGCTCTTCCATTGTTTTAAAGAAGTTTTAACGAAAAGCCCACGGAACTGTTCACTTTAATAAAAAACCACATTTTTACACCAAAAAGTCAATCTTGGTACTATTCACTTTACCATTTATTTTGTCTTTATCGTTAAAACTCAAAGTTTTCAAGCCTTTTCATTAGTTTTCCTTTGTTTGTTTTTAAACCTTCCTTGCCATGATGAAACAGGTCTATGAAGACTGCTCGAGGTGTGTAGGCCTTTTCAGCTACATGTCGCGGTCGTTCAAGAACTCTATAGATGCAACAATCAGATGTTGCAGTCTTAAATTCATAACGATTGTGATTCTATAATCCTACTAGATTATATGTAGGACTCTTTGATATCTTTTAGATAGTTTATTAGTTGTATTGTGTATTACTTGGAGAGCAAGGATTATCTCTTCCTTATCTCTATAAATAAAGGTCCAATGGGGTGAGAAATCACATCACAGAATTTGCAAACTCTTTCTAATCTCATTCCACCACCGACCCTCTCCCTCTCTTTTCTTTTCCCTTAGTAAAACAAGCAAAACATTACGGTTTTGTTGTTACACTAAGGAACTGAAGGATTTTGGAGAAGGACCTTCTACAACTAACATTCAAAGGCTTTTAATGTTTCCATCCGATCTAGGTTCTTCTAAAATACAGAATCGATATTTTATAAGCCCGTATGAAAATATTTACCATGATCTATGAACCTCAAATTTAGAATTCCCACGTCATCACTTTGCAACCCAATCGTTTTTTAGCCTGCTGCGCACTAAGGTCCAAGTCCAATTTCTTGGGCTTACTTTCTCGGCCTGCCCTAACCGGTTTTGGGTTACCACCTGCCTCGGTCCAAACCCAATTTTGAGCCGCATTTGCTTTAGCCCTCACCCAGTTCTGCTAGGGTGCACTGCTCACGGCCTAACCTAATTTTTCGGGCTTCTCTTCTACAAAGCCCGCATCCATCCAACACCAATATGGCATGAACTACTTTCTTGCGTCCACTGCTGACCCTTGTTTGTGACCAACCTATTAAAATAATGGAAAACTAACCAAAACACCCTCGAAACTTTACTTTTAATCATCATGACAGATTTTTTCAAAAATACCGATCCTACCCTTCACACATATGTGCAAGATTGGGTCAGTTTTATACAAAGTTCATGTGGATACATCCAAAAGAAGAAAAAGGAGATTGACATTTTCAGAAAGCATTTGCATGCAAAAGGATATGTGGCAAACATTGCAACAACCAAGACAATATAGATTCACATGCAAAAGAAAATGTGGCAAACACTGCAGCAACCAAGACAGCATAAATTCACATGACATTCAAGTAAAGACAAGACAGCCAGCTTTCAGAAACAGTGTTGACAGTTTTCAGAAACAATGTGCTGTCACTATTCAAAAAATTGTAAATAGATGAAATGTTATTTTGTTTTTGAAGAATTAGATTTTGTATATAACGGAGCATTTCCTCCCATACAGAACACACCTGAATACCACACAACTCTCTCAACATCTGAAAACACCATACTCACTTCATACACTCTAGCATTCGTAGCCTTCATAGCATCCTTGTAAACACTTCTTTGTAATCACTTTCTTGTAAACAACTATCTCTGTAAACATTCCATATATCAATAAAAGTTCAAGTGTACATATTCAAGCAATTTCCAAGTCTTAAGTAAGTTTTCTTTTCCTTACTTAGTGTGTTTGTTTAATTAGACTTTTAGTCTAAAACAGGGAAACACTATTGTGGTTATATTATTAACCTGCTAAACTGACGATCATACTTTGTTCGAGCACTCTGTTATAGTTGAATGTTTGCCATACAAATAACTGGACATTAACCAGGGTACCTCTGAGTTCTTCGTACCTCTGAGTTCAGCCTTTAAGGCCTTATACTTGTACTATGAGTGGCCGTCATGCTGAAACATGTCGAGTTCCATGTGCAAGGTTCTATATCTAGTTGTTATAATGGTCATCTGACTATTTAACCTAGCACGCGTTTCGAATTGGTATCAGAGCCAAGTTTAGCATTTTAATAATATAAGTATAATAGTAAAGTACCTTGAGGATAGAAGTCATTGATACAACTGATATCATATTGTGTATGAACAACAGATATTATTGTCCCTGTAGACCCTGTCAACCACAATTACCAGGTATTTATTGTCCCAGACATCCAACTATAACTAGCATAAAGAGAAGATTAACATATATATCTAAAAGAATTATCAGTACTTTGAAGAAGCAAAAGTTTTATCTTGGCTATCTTGAACATCCTTCATTTATAAGTTGCACAACTAAAATTAGAAGTTCAAAAAATTCAATTCGTACAAAAGGAGTTGAGTGAACAAGTAGATAAGTTGCATAATAAAATAGATAAATTATTAGTTTAATGACAGATTCTAGAACTAGTAGAAAATATATTCAAGCTTTGAAAGAAATTAGTAAATTAGATAAAGAACCAGTAGAATTAACAGATTTTTCAACACAAGTATCCAGTAGTAATATTCCCATTAGGCAAAATAATTTGATTATCCAATTAGTTTTAAGTTTAGCTGAAAAATTAGATCAAGTTGAAGAACAAATAGCAGAAATAAACCAAGTTTTACATAACACATCTTCATCACTTCCACCATCCTTGCTAGATAAATTAGAAAATTTAACTTTGAGTGCAAATAATAATAGAAGACCTAAGCTAAATCCTTTTGATAATAGAAAATGGAACTCTTTAGGAAAAAAAGGAAAAGAAGTAGTTAGAGTGGAAGATATTTATCCAAATGAAGAAGAAACACAAGAATTTATTCGAAGAGGTTTTGAGAGAACACAGAAAAATAAATATAACTTGTATCAATTAGGTTTATTTGAAAACAGAAGTAGAATTGTAAGCAGCATTAGTCAACATGAAGTTAGCTGTATTGATAAAGAAGTCACACTTAATCTAATTAGTAAAGAAGCAGTTACTCATGTGAGAAAATCACATTTTAGTCAGATTCATATAGGAACAATATTAATTGGAATAGCAGGATTAACCAGAGCACAAGTAGGTACAAAAGCTTTAGTATACATATATGATGATAGATGGGATAATCACCAACAAGCAGCAATAGCAACAGCTGAAGTAGACTTAAGTTCAAACTTAGCAGTCATAGGTTGTATTCCAAATTATGTTATGACGATTAATGAATTTAGTAAATATATTAAAGTGAGCATAAGAACAAAAAATTATAATATGAAAGGAGAGTATAAAAATTTGTGTATTAGCTTAATGTATATAGGTAAAGTGTCTGATAGATATAATCATAAGTTTAATTTAGAGTTTCAAAATTTAGTTCAAACGTTTGGCAGTAAACATTTAAATATGATAAAAGCAAAACCCGTAGATAATAGCTTTTTAGAAGGAACTTAATGGACATTGCCTAATTTACAAGTAGCACAAAATAGACAACCAGATAAAGTACAAATATATGAAACTAGTACAGGTCAAGCAACAATTAGGTTTAGTAATTATAAGCAACTAGAAAAAATAGAAGAAGATGAGAGTGAAATTGAAAATGAAAGTATACATATGCCTTTTGATAATTTAGATATTAATTTAGTTGAACAAAATTTTGATCATATTGTAGATAAACTTATAGAAGATATTGATCATTTAGATGAAGAACAATATTTGGAAAAATATAAGACATGATTTAGGACTACATAAAATTTTAGACGAAGAAATGAAAATTTTAATCTTAGAAATAGGAGTAGAACACATTTTAGGATCAAAAGAATATAATAATTTATTATAATTGAAAGCAAAATGTAATCCAGCAGAAGAAAGTAGTACATCAGGAGTAGAAAATCCAGGACACGCAAGCAGAACTGATCAACAATTTTTGAGACCAACAAATGAACAATATAATGAAAAAGCAAAAGTAGACTATATAGAAGAAAGTATGATAAAACCTAGAAAAAATAGGATTCCATATTTGAGAGGGTTAGAACAAATTAATATAGTTGGTAATATATTAAATTTAGATAATGTAGATCTACAAGATTGAGAAAGAACGATTGAGAGATGGGAAAAGGCTGCGTACATGCAACATTAATGTTAGATTTTAGTAATTCACAAAACATGTTAGATTACTTTAAACATACTTTGGATGATTTAGTTTTTGATTATTTCCAATCATGGAAAGTCCAAAATCTAGAACAGCATCAGGCAACTAAAACACATTTCAATATTGATGGTTTTGTTACTTTGATAAAACAAGAGTTTTTAGATCATAATAGGTTAGATGGCAGAAGCGAACAAGAACAAATAAGAGCAATTAGAAGAACAATTACAAATTTGCGATTTACAATATATAGCTGAGTATACAACAGATTTCTTTAAATATTTAGGAAGAACAGGTAGAATTAGTGATATTAATTTATTAGATACTTATATGACAAAAATAAAAGGACCAATAGGTAAAAAGATTTGGAATGAATGGCAAAAGCATTCGAAGAATAATGATATTGCTATAGGACCTAGAATTCAACATGTATATGATATACTTAGACAAGAGTGTAGTCAAATAAAGGTTAAGAGACAAATTAGGAAACAATTTTACATGAGTTGTAAAAATATAGATTTACCACAACAGTATGGTTGCCATAAGAAAAATAAGCATAAGAAAATATACAAAAAGAAATATAAGTCATATAACCCTACAAACAACATAAAAATTTCAGTATAAGACCTTCAAGAACATATAGGAAAAGAAAATATATTCCAAAACAATTTAGAAAAAAAAAGTGGCAGACCTTGGATTAGGAAATATAAAGCACCAAAAGATAAGAGTAGTTGTAAATGTTATTCATGTGGAGAAGCTGGACATATTAGACCTAAATGTCCAAAATTAGGTAAACAGTCGAAAGAAAAAGTACATTTGATGGAGTTGTTTAAGTTAGAAGAAGATAAAGATATTCAGTCAATATACAGTTTAGATAATTTAAGTGATAATGAGAGTATTTATAGTATAGAGAGCATTAACATGATAGATTCAGACTCGGAAGATTCAAGTAGCACAAATAGTGATCTAGAAGAGTATATGTGTGCATTCATAGAAGAACAGCATGAAGAAGAATATAAATACATTAATTTAGGTTGGCCAGAAAAATGTCATAAGTGTAATAAATTAGTTGCAAATAAATACTACAATACATACTCAATATTATGTGAAAAATGTTATAGTAATAGGTTATTAGAAGTTAATTCAGCAGAATCTGAAATATTAGGAAATATTGTTCATAGTATAGAAAAACCAAAAAATAGTTCTTTAATCACTATAAATTGCGAAATAGAATTAGCAAAGAACATAAGATACAAACCATAGCTATGATAGATACAGGGAGTACAAAGAGTGTCATAAGAGAAGAGTTAGTACCAGAAAAATATAGACAAAAATTAGCAAAACCAGTAAGAATAA